CCATGGCAGCCACCACCACCTGGCTGGCTTGCCTTGTCTGTGGATGGATCTTATTCAGCGGAAGAGGGCTCGGCGGGAGCAGGCATGATCCTATGGGATAACTTGGGCTCTGCATTTTTTCATCATGTCAACTATTATTCTACTGTAACAATGTTCTCGAGGCGGAAATTCAAACAATTAAGATTGGAATGTCTATGGCTATCGAATGGTCTAACCTTCCGGTCTTATTACAATCGGACTCGATGGTTGCCCTTTCTTCTATGACTGATGCTTCACTTGATAAATCACCCAATGGTAAATTGGTCAGGGAAATCAAGAACTACATGCTGTAGAGAGAGTTTAAACCAGTGAAGATCGTGAGATCACAGAACATGGTCTCACATTGTCTTGCTAATTATGCCCGAACGGCTCGTAGCACCGCTTGTTGGTTGCAACGGCCACCCCCCTTCATTCATAATTTTGTATTAGCGGACTGTAAGCCTGTTACTTTGGAATAAACTTCTTTTAAACCCGCAAAAAATAGCGTTCTTGTATGGCATAGATACCCGCAGCCACTCTTGTCCCAGACACATAACATATCCAACATCCGTATTAATCAAACAAACACGCAAACTCCAGGCCGGCAGCGTTGACGCGCATCAAAGAGCATTCTTGTATGGCACAGATACCATGCGCCATAGCCTCCGTGCGCCGAAAGTCCGGTGGGCATGCATGCATACATTGCAGCTCTCTATTCTTAGTCAAACACTTCTGGAAAAGTATTACTTTGTATAAATATAAGCCTTTTTTAGAGATTCTAGTGCGGACTATATGCAGATGTATATAGACATATTTTAGAATGTAAATTCATTCACTTTACTCGGTATGTAGTCCGCATTGAAATCCCTAAAAAACACATATTTAGAAACAAAGGGAGTACATGCATGTTAGATTTGCATCAATGCGTCATATAAGCAAAAACGGATAATAGAGTAAGATTGGTGGCATTGCTGGAACTCATTTGCGTCCCACCTTTGGCTACAGCTGCTTGGCAGGCTAAATGATCCCAAATTTGGCGTTATAGTGGAATTTACGGGGCTATTAGCATCATTTTTAATTTAGCATTAAAATGCATCACCTTAGCGGGACAACTCCTAAAAATCTATAGCAAGACTATAGTGAAGCAGTAAAGGTTGTTTAAAACTGTACACAGAACCAATAATTATATAGTTTCATAACAAAATAAAGCACTTCTTTTAGCTCCTCTCTTGGCTACACACAGGGGCATACCTCCCCTTAGGACAAGGTAGGACGGCCGCCCTACCTTGATTTATCACGAAAACATTATTATGCATGTGTTCTCTCTGAATAATTTGAGTGGCCATACATCCAAAATAGACTCCGTATGAGAAATTTATGTGTGTTTTAGTAAACAGTGCGCAAAATCGATTATGAGCCGAAAATAAGGACTGGATCTAGCCTAGTCGAAAACCAACTCTTCCGTTTTGATATAGTCGATTCTCAATCTACCAAAACCCAACTGACATGGGCATATGCCCTGCGGATGCCCATCGACATACCAGATGCGGTTCGACCAAGGGCTCATCTCGTGGCTAGCCCAAGGCTTAGGTGATTAGGCCCATGACGGTCAAAGATGAGGCCCAACTCGAACAACCGGAGTTCCTCGCAAGGCAGTCATAGAATTAGGGTACTACCTTTGTTGTAACCAACTCGGCTATGACGCCTGTGACTCAGCCTCCTAAATAAAGGCTGGAGGGAGCACCGAGAGGACTTAGACACACACCCATAAGATTCACCTCTGCACCAAATCCAATCGGAGCCGAAACACCACTGTAACACCTATGCAACTCGCCGGAATACAGATAACACAAGCAGGAGTAGGGTATTACCCTCCGAGTCCTGAACCTGGGTAAATTGTGCCTTGCTTCTTGTTAGCCATCGAGTCCACGAGCACCATCTTCTACATGTACGCAAACCTAGCTCCTCAAGCATGCGATTTGCTATGGTGATCCCACGACAATTGGCGCCTTCTGTGGGATTCAGGTGCGCTGGAGTCATGATCTCAACGGCATGAATCTCGGCGGATAGCAACTCGCCGATCTCAGGGGAACTGATCTTGTTCGGCTCCCTTGACTCCATTTCGCACTCGTCGGCGCTACGTCTGGCCTTCGATGCTCTCGACGAGAGCATCGATCTGAAGTTTAGTGACACGAATTTCTGTGCAATCCGCGCGGGCATCATCCCTCTGCAGGATTAGAATCGTCCCCAAGCGACGGAGTAAATCTCTTCACTGACCTTAGCGACTGCACGCCGCTCTTCATCGACTCCGTGGGCGAGGCGGACCCGACAATCAACTCAGCGTTCTATGCCGAGTGCGACATGTGCCACTTCGTGGGCATGGCCCAGCTCGTCAAACGCAACATGGGTGGTCACCTCAACAGCGAAACCTTCAACAGTAGCGGAGATACGATCCCTCAAAGAATTCCCGCCATAGCCTACATGGCGGATAATGGAGAAGACAAAGACCCTTAAGCGGGCGTGGGTGACGAAACCCCATACCGCGCGGAAACAATGGCTCTTCGCCTCCTAGCAATCGATAACGAGTCCGTGTCCCCTAGGATGTGATGGCCGGAGCCTGCATGGCGATAAAAGAAAGGCAGGTGATGCCTCCAGACTCAAGCAGGAGGAATTGCTGGCCTACTACTCCCTCCCGCAGAAAGCACAAAACAAGATGCCGAAGCAGCAACAAGAATTGGACAGCGGAAGCAAGCCAGGAATGAGTCGAGCACGCGGATGGCGGTGCATGTTAGAATAAGTTGTATAGGGATAGGAAAGTAGTTTGAATTGTAATCCTTCTCCTATCACTTCTTCCGTTCTGTCTCTCATATAATAGTTGCGATCGATCGATCTCTCTCCTCGATCGGTACTTCCTTGTAAGCCACGTCAACCCTTGGATCTAATGCAATGCGGCCCATACGAAGGGTTCTATGCTTCCCAAATAGTTTTACGTGGTAACAGAGCCTCTTACTCAATAGATCAAAAGAGATTGCATGTAGCTGCCTTCTGCGACCGAGATCATGTCCACCGCCGCCGCCGCCATGACACTCAGCACCATGGGTGCACTCACCACTACATCATCTTCCACCTTTGCTTCATCATCTAGCTCCACCGCCACCTCTCTCGGATCGCCACCTCAAGAGAAGCTAACAAGGGGAAACTTCCTGTTATGGAAGGCCGTCATGCAGATGGAACACCACCTCGACGAGAAGAGCCCGGCACCACCGGCCACCCTCACCATCACCATGGACGGGAAAGAAGAGCAAGTCGCCAAATTTTCCCAAACCCACTGGTATGCACAACATCAATAACTCCAAGGATATTTGATGGGTTCTCTCTCCCGCAATATTCTTGCCCAGGTCGTCGCGCTCCAGAAGACGGCCGAGGTGTGGCGCTCCATCCACGCCATGTTTGGTGCTGAAAGTCAGGCTCAGTCTATCAATACCCGCACTGAGCTCACAAACCTGCAAAAAGGTAATATGACTATGGCCGAGTACCTTGGAAAAATTAAGAGTATCACTCACGAGGTTGTTTGCACCGGCGCCGCGCTATTTGATCCGGAGATCAAGTCAAAAATTCCTGCTAGATTGGATCTGGAGTACAACCCCGTTGTGTCGGCGCTTGCTGCTCAAGTGGAACCAATCACGGTTAAGGAGCTTTACAGCCAGCTCCTAAGTTTTGATGACAGCCTCAGCCTCCTCCATGGCACCAATCTCTGTCAGTCCTCCGCGAACTCTGCCTCCCATGGCCGCGGCCATGGGCGTGGTCACCAGGGGTGAAACTGTGCTGGTGGTCGCGGGCATAGCGCTCCTCAGGGCGATGGCGCTCATTCTGGTGGTGACGGCTACGGCGGTGGCAACTACAGCAACAACACCGGTGGCGGCAGTAACTACAACAACAAGACCGGCGGCGGTGGCTTCAACACCATCAACAGCCGCCGTGGTTCATCCTCTCGTGCTCGACCTCGCTGCGAACTCGGCGACATCAACGACATCATCCACGAGACCAACGGCGACGACTTCCTCGGCGCACCCTTGGCGTGGACTTCATCGGCGCTACAAACGGCGACACTGCCTGATATGTCTTCTGTGCGCCGTGCACCTCCGTTTTGTGATGGCCTAGATTTTCAAAATGTGGCATGGACTTTAAATTTGTGTGCCTGAGACTTTGAATTCAAGGCCGAGTTTATGTTATTTTCATTTGAACAATGTGAAATTGCAAAATAAATAAATACTGGGAGAGCGTTTTGGGGTCACGAGTGGGGAGAAGCGCTCCCCATAGGCACCATCTATCTCGGGCGGACCGCATGGTGCTCGTTCGGGGTTCAATCCGGACGCTATACGGGGCGGTGATTGGAGATGCTCTAAGACCCGACACCTAAACGCGATACAACGGCATGATAATGACAGGCATCTCCACTAGTTAATGCCGTGTCTATTGAGTGCGGCATTTTGTAGCACATAATTTGAAAAAAAAGTAAAAATAACATTTTGGAGTTTCAAAAAAAGCAATCATAGGTGTTGACAACGTTGTATTCTACCAACGTGCAAAATCTTCGATGGAAACCCTAAACCCATCGAATAAACTTCAAATCACGTATGTTGTCTCAATTTGTTGTTATTATTTTATTTCTTTCTACAGATGGCGGGTGCGGTACATATTAATACATTAATTGCCTCACATAATACAGCTAGGTAATTATTCGTTACACACACATGTACTCCCTTCACAAACTAATATAAAAACATTTGAATCACTACTTTATAGTAATCTAAACGCTCTTATATTAGTTTACAGAGGGAGTATATATATAAGTTCTGCATCTGCAGTGTACGTGAACGGTGGATCCTCGATAGCAACATATATATAGTAGTTCTGCATCTGTATGTTTTGGGAAGGGTTGAGAAGTCCAGTCGAAACACGTCCTGCGTAGCCTTCTGGCATCAATTTATCCTGCAAGTAAAACGGTCAGGTTAACAACTCCTACGAAAGGGCACTAGAATAACACCGTGACCCATATCACCAATACAAAACAGAAGTGGTGTTGGTTTCCATGCCACGTACGAGTTGCAGTTCCAGGGCATCGGGACTTTGCACTTGCGCGGCAGCCCCGCGGCGCGGCTGGCGTAAGGCCCGCCAGCGGCTCCGGCGCCGATGTTCTTGAGGCAGGTGCAGATGGTGCGGCGGTCGGGGGTGGAGCGCGCCGTGGACACCAGCTTCTTGACCCCCCCGCAGCAAAACCGCGGGACCACCCCTCCTGACTGCAGGTACCCGAGGCAAGGCATCAGCGTGTTGTACACCGTAGAGCACGAGAGTGCCGCGCTCGCGCCCCGCGAGGCCAGCACCAGCACCGCCACGATGAGCACCGCGCGCGGGACACCTCGGATGATCGCAGCAGGAGCCATGGTTAAATCGGCAAGTAGCTAGATGCAGTACTTACTGGTGTATCGGACGCGAGCGGTGGAGCACATATATATGTATGGAGGTAGTAATCAAACACGCAAACTCCAGGCCGGCAGCGTTGACGCGCATCAAATAACATTCTTGTATGGCAGAGATACCCGCAGCCACTCTTGTCCGAGTCACATACCATATCCAACATCCGTATTAATCAAATAAACACGCAATCTCCAGGCCGGCAGCGTTGACGCGCATCAAATAGCATTCTTGTATGGCACATATACTATGCGCCATAGCCGCCGTGCGCCGAAAGTCCGCTCCATGGACATGCATGCATATATTGGAGCTCTCTATTCTTAATCAAACAATTCTCGAAAATTATTACTTACTCAAACTTGGACTGGACTAAAATAAACTGACTGGTGGAAGACGAAAACAACGAGCAACTTCCCAACTATATCCATTCTATACATTCTTCATTTTAGCTCTCGAGCTGGAATCCAGCCTACCCGAGACCGAGCCTATCAATTCGATCTTGTTTCTTTTGGAAAAGCTATAGCGAAGCAAAGCCCCATTTAGTGTTTGTTCTTAATTCATGATTTTTTTGAAAAGTAAGCATATAATCATGCATTACATATATTTGACATCTACTCCCTCCATTTCTAAACATAAGTCATTTTAGAGACTAATGTGGACTATATAAAGATGTATATAGACATATTTTAGAGTGTAGATTCACTACTTTTACTCCGTATGTAATCCGTATTGAAATCTCTAAAAAACATATATTTAGAAACGGAGGGAGTACATATTAGATTTGCATTTGTGCGTCATATATACATAGGGATAATAGAGTTAGATTGATGGCATGCTGGAACTTATTTGCGCCCCTCCTTTGGCTACACCTGCTTGGCGGGCTAAATGATCCCAAATTTAGGGCTCTAGCGGAATTTAGCGGGCTATCAATGTCATTTTTAATTTAGCGGTAAAATGCATAGCTTTAACGGGACGACTCCTAAAAATCTATAGCAAGACTACAGCGAAGCCATAGCTGTTGAAAACTATACACAGAACAAATAATTATATAGATGCATAGCAAAATAAAGCACTTCTTTTCGCTCCTCTAATGGCTACACACAGGGACAAACCTCCCCTTAGGGCATGGTAGGATGGCCGCCCTACCTTGATTTATCGAGAAAACATTATTATGCAAGTGTTTTCTCTAACAATTTGAGTGGTCATATGTGAAAAATAGGCTCCGTATGAGAAACTTATGTGTGCTTTAGTAAACACTCGCAAAATCGATTATGAACAGAAAATAAGGATTGGATCTAGCCTAGTCGAAAACCAACTCTTTCTCTGTGAAATAGCTGATTCTCCATCTACCAAAACCCGACTGACGTGGGCATGCCCTGCGAGTGTCCACTATTGGCATGCCAGGTCGGTAAGACCAATGCCTCATCTGGTGGCTAGCCCAAGGCTAAGGAGATTAGGCCAATGATGGGACAAGGGATGAGGCCCAACTCGAACAATCGGGATGCCTCGCAACACAGTCATAGAATTAGGGTAGCGCCCTTTGTTGTAACCAACTCTGCTACAACACCCGAGACCCGACCTCCTATATAAAGTCTAGGAAGGGTCACAGAGAAGACACACACACACACATGCATGCACGCACGCACACACACATAAGATTCACCTTTGCGCCTGATCCAATCTGAGCCATAACACCACTGTAACACTTGTGCAACTCGACGGAATAAAGATGAGACAAGTAGGAGTAGTGTATTACCCTCCGGAGGCCTGAACCTGGGTACATTGTGCCCTGCTTCTTGTTAGCTGTCGAGCACACCAGCGCCATCTTCTCCCTCTATGAAACCCTAACTCCTCAAGAATGGGATTGGTCATGGTGACCCCATCACACCGACTCTAAAAATTCCCTAGGTCTGGTATTTAAGTAGGGTTTGAGAATATTTTGGACAGCTCGTGGGGGAGTGGCAGAAAGTAACTCTATGTATGCAATAGATTATATCTTATCGTTCTATTTTTGGCTTTCTATATTTTATTGGCTAAAATTCGTATTGTATTATGTCAGTCAATATCTTTTTTTGATCGATGATGTGAGGACATGTTTGCTGAACTGAAAAAATGATGGTTCATAGCCCCTCTTGAAAGGTGTCAATTTTCGCAGAAGATGACATCACAGTCCTAAATATGGATGAAATGGTAGCAAAATACGGGAAATCAAAATAACAAGAGGACAACATGTAACTATTTATTTATTTTTATAGTGTGAAAACCTACAATGTTGATGTAGAGTGTAGACTCTATTATCACCCATTTTGACCTTTGCTTAAATGAGCTATCTTCGGAATTGTTTGGAATTCTCTTGTCTTGATTGCAGAGACTCATTTTCTAGATTCAATGTGAATAACCTTGCCGTTATTATAGATTGAATAATTTGATGATGTGCTAAATCGAATGGGGGATATTCAAAAGTCTTTATCGAAATAATTATGGTAGATTTTCAAAACAAAAAGTATATATTCGAAAGGGGGGGGGGGGGCTTCTCCCCTCTCTCCCTGCGGTCGTTGTGATAGGCGGGAGACAAAAGAGGGGCGAAGCGCTCCTACTGAGTTGTGTCGGAGCTACTTACAAGGCCGCATCGATGGAGATCATAGGGAGTTCTTCCTCAGCAACTCTTCCTTGGGGGCCGATGGTCACCTTGCTACTGAATCTAAAGGTTATTAGGCAGCTACTCCCACCTTGTTTGTCAGCTTCGGGATGGCAGAAGGTGTTGTCTTACCTCCGGGCTTTTGTGCCATTGTGGAGGCTCTGGAGCTTCGACGCTGTATGCTCCCGGCACTGCACACCAAGTGGTCACGTCCCCGGAGGTGCTGTGGTTGATCGCTGTCGGTTGCTTCTTCAGGAGATGGGTGGAGAAGGAGCTAGAAGAGGACATGGACTTAATTGCTTTCTCCTTTTTGTTATAGGGTCTTGGGTGCAAAAGTTGAGGGCCTGGTTATATTTTCTTTCCTTTCAAGGTTTTTAATGTAAATATACTCCACCCATGCGATTACAAATAAAGCCGTCTTCCGGCCCGTTCAGAAAAAAACATAAACAGAAATAGCAGTATAGCGTCGTTCTCAGAACCCGAGGCGTTCAGTCTCCGGCGTTTTTCACTTTGCTCATCCTTGTAAATCTTCACAGACACGACTTAAAAACAGCAGCCCTGCGTGAACCAACCTGTGGTTGGATGGTTAGAGGGACAGTGGTATCCCTATCCCACCAGGGTTCAAGTCTTGGTGCTCGCATTATTTTTGGATTTATTTCAGGATTTCCGGCGATGCGATTTTAGTGGGAGGAGACGTTCCGGTCGACGATGAGGCGCCTACGGTGACTTCGTAAATTTGAAGATGATATACCGGCTTAGTATCTCAGAGGTGTTCATAGGGGTAGGATATGCGTGTGTGCCTTCATAAGGGTGAGTGTATGCACACGTATATGTACACTTTTGTCTATACTGTTGTTAAAAAAACAGCAGCCCAGCGACTCGACTCGACTCAGGCAATTATCATGTTACATATGCCGCCCACCTGCACTGCACCACCCACTTGCAAACTGCAGTCTCTCGAGAGGTACAAAGACAATAATTGTAGCCTGCTTTGCTTCATGGAAAAACATAGTAGGAGATGTGTCCACCTCCATGCCTTCTTCCTCCTCGTGCTCGTGCACACCAGCCCTGCAGCCACGGTGACGGCCGTCACTTTCCGGTGCCCAGCCGACCAGGCCTCCGCGCTTCTCCGGCTGAAACACTCCTTCCAGCAGCCGCTCCTGCCATCCTGGCGCGCGCGCACGGACTGCTGCCGATGGAAGGGCGTCCGGTGTGACGCCGCCTCGGGCCGGGTCGCCGCGCTCGACCTCAGCGACCAAGGCCTTCATAGCCGGGACGGCCTCCCCCGCGCGCTCTTCCAGCTTACCACGCTCAGGCGCCTCGGCCTCGCCGGCAACGACTTCGGCGGCGCCAGCCTCCCGGCGTCCGGGTTCGAGCAGCTCGCCGAGCTCACTCACATCAACCTCTCGAACGCTGGCTTCGCCGGCCAGATACCCGTCGGCATCGGCAACCTAAGGAAACTCGTATCACTAGATCTCTCCTACAACAACGGCTTGTCCGGGACGATCCCCGAGTTCTTTGCCGAGCTGCGCTCGCTGGCCGTCCTTCTCCTCTCCAACAACGACTTCAACGGATCGTTCCCTCGGGGGATCTTCCAGCTCAAGACCCTGAGGGTGCTCGACTTGTCGGGTAATTCTGAGCTGTCCGGCGACTTGCCGGAGCTCCCTGCCGGGAGCCTCCTGGAGGTTCTGGACCTGAGCGGGGCTAGCTTTTTTGGTGTAATACCCAGCTCCATCAGCAACCTGAAGCGTCTCAAGACTCTGGACATGAGCAGCAGCCACGGCCGTTTTTCTGGGGCCCTCCCTGCTTCGATCAGTGAGCTTAAATCCCTGAGCTTCTTGGATCTGAGCAACAGCGGGTTCCGAATCGGCCAGCTGCCTGCTACGCTGGGCAGACTGCAGTCCTTGTCCACGCTGCGGCTCAGGGACTGCGGCGTCTTAGGTGCAATACCGTCGCCCATTCAGAACCTCACACGCTTGACCGAGTTGGACCTCTCACAGAACAATCTCACCGGTGAGTTCCAAGAAATGTTTTTGGGTTCATTCATTCAAAAAAAAATTTGTTTCTCGGATTCAGTACTATTCCTTGCTTTGCATTATTTCGGAAGCAGACATCAGATTTTTTTTTTGTTTTGTTGCAGGAGCAATGCCCACGTGGAGCAAAGGAGCATTTAGGAACCTAAAGACGCTGCAGCTATGCTGCAACTCCCTATCAGGGCCAATCCCAGCCTTCCTCTTCTCGCTCCCTCAACTCGAGTTCATATCGCTTATGAAGAACCATTTTGACGGCCACCTCCAAGAATTCTCTGATCCTTCTCCCTCCCTAGCATCCGTTTACCTCGGCTACAACCAGTTAAACGGATCAGTGCCCAAGTCTTTCTTTAGCCTCATGAGCTTGCAAACCCTGGATCTATCTAGAAACGGTTTGAGCGGGACAGTGCGGCTTAGCTCATTTTGGAGGCTCACCAATCTAAGTAACCTCCTCCTGTCAGCTAACACTCTGACAGTTGTGGTGGACGACGAAGAACATATTAGTTCATCCTCGTCTGCATCGCTCCCTCCACTCAACTCTCTGGGTTTAGCCTGCTGCAACATGACCAAGATCCCTTCCATACTCAAGCACGTCCTGGTCGGCGACCTCGACCTCTCATGCAACCACATTGGTGGCTCTGTGCCCAAATGGATATGGGCAGGCCAGAAGGAGAATGTAGATGTGTTTAAGTTGAATCTTTCGCGCAATCACTTCACCAGCATGGAGCTGTCTCTGGCCAATGCCAGCGTATACTTTCTTGACCTTAGTTTCAACAGCTTTGGAGGGCCTATTCCCGTGCCCATGGCTCCACAGTTCCTTGATTACTCCAACAATCTCTTCTCATCCATCCCACGGGATCTGATGCCGCGACTAACTAGTCCTTTCTATCTGAGCATGGCCAACAACACACTGCGCGGAGGCATCCCGCATATCATCTGTGATGCAAGCAACCTCAAGCTGCTTGACCTGTCTTACAATTATTTCAGTGGCCATGTTCCATCTTGCCTTGTAGATGGGCGCCTCACCATCCTGAAGCTGGGACATAACCAGTTTGAGGGGACATTCCCTGATGGCATCCAGGGCGTGAGGTGTGCTTCCCAGACGATAGATTTGAACGGGAATAACATGCAGGGGCAGCTGCCTAGATCATTGTCCAAGTGTCATGATCTGGAGGTCTTTGATGTTGGCGGCAACAATTTCGTCGACTCTTTTCCGACCTGGCTGGGGGATTTGACAAAACTTAGAGTTCTTGTGTTGAGATCCAACAGATTATTTGGTCCTGTCGGGGCGGCTCCTGCCAACAGGACGCACTTCCAGAGCTTGCAGATTATCGATCTTGCCTCCAACAACTTCTCTGGTAGTTTGTGTCCACAATGGTTCGAGGGTCTGAAAGCAATGATGGTTATTGGAGAGAAGCACGAGGGCCGACAAGCCTTGGAGGAAAACCTCACAGGTAAGTTGTACCGAGACACGGTAGTGGTCACGTACAAGGGAACAACCATGACACTCACCAAGATCTTGACGGCCTTCACGGTTATCGACTTCTCCGCCAACGCCTTCACCGGAAGCATCCCGGAATCGGTCGGGGAGCTCGCTTCGCTACGCGGGCTCAACATGTCGCACAATGCCTTGACGGGGACAATTCCTCCTCAGCTCAGCCACCTGACACAGCTTGAGTCGCTAGACCTTTCATCAAACCATCTCTACGGGGCGATCGCGGAGGCATTGACATATCTAACCTCCCTTGCGTCGCTGAATGTCTCCAACAATCAGCTCGAGGGGGCCATACCACAGGGAGGGCAGTTCCTGACATTTACCGTCGATTCTTTCCAAGGGAATGCAAGGTTATGTGGTAAACCACTGCCCAAACAATGCAATTCAGAGGTCCCTTCGTCTGACTCTGAGCACGACAAAAAATCAGACGATAGGGTCGACACAATTGTACTGTATCTTGTTGCTGGGTCAGGGTACGGTCTGGGATTTGCAGTAGCGGTTCTGTTTCAGGTGCTAGGCAAAAGGTGGAGGCGGAAACCAAAAGTGATCAACTGAACATTTGGGTCATACTATTTGGATTGACCAATGTACGCATGCAATTAGAGTTGGTGTAGTTCAACCAAAATAAGTGGTGTAGATCCTGTGTGTGTATGTGTGTGTGTGATGAATAGGGCACCATCATTGTAACAAAATAAACAGTACTATGAACATCTCCAGCACTATGTCTCGCTACATTCTGGTCTATGGGATATCGGATAGGGAAAAAGTAGTGTAGAATGAGTAACACACCTGCACGGTGGGAAAAAAAGTTCGATCGATTAGAATCTTCTTCTTTTTTCTTCCCTCTCTTGATTTGCGACGCGTGATTTGCGTCTACCAAGGTTTCATCAAGCATGACCTCTGACTCTGATGCCTTTTTAAGGACTTATTTAAACATGTCCGGCCGCAAATATACATCCATCGCTTGAAGCTCACTATATTACAATTCCTGAAAACCAAACTACCCCTATATTACAACTCCAAGCTCCAGGGAGGGATCTCTTTTAACGGAGCAGTTGGTGAATAGTCTCCACGATTTATTTTCGCTGGTTTTTTCCGTCTGGTTTTTTTCGTCTCAGCTCCCACCACCCACCACCTTGCACTGGTTTATTTTCGTCTCACCTCTCACCACTCCTCCTTCCATTTTTATCTCCGGTTATTAAACCGCCAACTGATTTTTTTTCCTATCCCACCGATCTTCTCTCATTGTTTCCATTCTGTTCCGGATCTTTTTTTTAGAGAAAAGGCGCCGGCCGAGCCCGAGAGAGGGCTCGAACCTAACCCGGCTTTGAATTAACAAAGCCAACAACCGGCCAGGATTACAACGAACGACAATACAAAGAAAAGGAAACAATCGGAGCAGAGATACAAAGTGCTAAGTGGAACGGCTCAAAGGCAACAACAACTTACAGTGTTGCCAACGACCACAGCAGTGTCAAACAAGCAACCAAACTAAGGCTATAGGAGGGCAACAACTCCGGGCTTGAATTGTGCCGCTGACTGCCACCGCACAGGAAGACAAGAGCAGCCCGATATCTGTCTCTGCCGCCGCAAAGGGCCACAACCCTTTCACCCGGGCTCGACGGGAGCCGCACCGGCGGCCGGCAGAGAGGTTCCACATGAACCCAGACCAGGGCGCCGAGCCACCATAGGGAAACAGCTGAGGCAGACCCACACGCACCGGAAGCCGACCAAGAGCACCGTCGCCGAAAGCCGCAGGACAGGACGACAGCCGCAAGTCGTCGGACGAAGGCGAAGATCCATGGAGAAGATCTGTTCCGGATCTCCTTCCCCCAATCCTTTCCAATCACTCCCAAGTCAGAATTTTCTTCCAAATCTGTCCATACTGATCTTGTTTCCATTCCATTTCCGATCTCCTTCCCTCAATCTTTTCCAATCATTCGCAATTCAGTTTTTTCTTCCAAATCCGATCACACCCGATCTAGATCTCGAGGGTTGCCTCCCGTTCATCCCAGCACGTCCCTTGTACCAGCCATGGAAGAGAGGACGGAGAGAAGATGGGAGCGCAGTGGCCTCTGGGCCGTCTTGGCCCTGGCGGGAAGGCATTGGGAGGATCCCGGGAATGGGCGGTATGGCGAAGGTCGTGGCCATCGTGGTCGCGGCCGTCATGCTCGTGGCGTGCGTGTTCCTGGCCATCTGGAAGTACCGACGGCAGGCCAGCACCGTTGCACGCACACGGACACGGTCACTCGAGTCATCCACGGCTACGCCGCAGGCCAACGGCTCCGCGAGCCTTGATCCAGTATCTCTGTCTCCTTGGTCTCCGAGAGCGTCTCCGGCTGGGGCAACAACCTGCTGCCGGCGGGGAAGCAAGTCACCTTCTGGGGCGGGCGGGGCAACAACGGCAGGGACCAGCCCCTGTCTGTCTTTGGGATCCCGAAGTACCATTACAAGTATGACAACTACTCCTCCGTTGCAATCCTGGTTGTAGTATTAAGATCACATGATCAGTGAATTGTAAAGTTGAAATATATCAGCTTGACTGTCTAATGCATTTGATCTAATTAAGGTTAGGATAAGATACGCAAGTCAGGTCATAGTCGTTTCTCCGTGCGTCTATTAGAATTCGTACGTTCATGGCAGCTCCAGAAATGCATGCATGCAACTTATACCATGATCTTATTGTGAATGTTAGTGTTGGTGTGAGTAGCCAGAAGCAAAGTAACGTTTTTCTGATTGATCCATATTACTGTGTCGGTTGTTCAGGGATCTGCAGAAGGCTACCAAAAACTTCACGATGATTCTGGGCCATGGATCATTTGGTCTTGTGTACAAGACTGTAATGGCTACTGGTGAAGTCATGGCTGAAAAGGTTCTTGTGACGCCGCTGCTACTTGGTGCCCGCCGCACCCAAGGCATCGGTTGCCGTCCCTGTTCTCCTGGTGGCCCTCTCGTCATGCGTTCACTTGGTCGAGAGTTCCTCACAGCCGCTGAGGAACAGGTCGGTGAACTCCATTTACTTTTTCTGGTCTCACCTTAGCTATTTGATTCCCTTCAATTGTGTGTCGCATATGTGCAGTCTAATACAGAAATTTAAAATTTACATGTTAGTGCAGAGTGACTCCCAGGAAAATTACTCAAATTTATCCAATGGGCAATGACAAAGTAAGAATGGCAGAACCACTGCTAGCCAGCTCCGAATATGGAGACAAATCATGATTCTTTTCATCGCTAACCATCAACAGAACTCCAAATTCTTGATATTGAAATGAAAAGTGAGCCGACATCTATGCCATGTTAAGCTTTGAGTTCAGCTACTTCCTATGTGTTTTCCAAAGCAAAGCTGGTCTTTATGTTTCAGTTTTTTCTTTAACCATTTATCTTTTTAATTGGTCAATCATCCAAGAATATATTTGTATTACTACCCTTTCTAAATACTCCATGTGTTCATTCCAAAGCAAAGTTGTCCAGCCAAGCTACCTGCTTTTCTGTTCTTAACATTTTCACTGAATTTTTGTCACTCTTGTCTTGCTGATATGGTATGGTGCTAAATACTTGAGAAATATCTTGCATGATATTCTTCTCTTCCTACATGCATTTATTTATCAGATTGGGGGGAAGGTAGATTTAATTTCAGTACACTCTATGCCAAGAGACACTCTAATTTTGCTTTCATACACATATTACTGCAGGACCATAGCAGACCATTGCAATGCGGCAACCCAAATTTCAATTCAACAGTGTTCTGTGCGCATCAGTAAGTTGTTTATCTTGCTTTCACTTTTAAATTTCTTGCTGAATCATTACAAGCATGTGTTCCTGTCTCCTACATGTCTCTAAATTCTAAGATGTGAAATTATAAATATTTTTCTGTAATATATATCATGGTTTTGTGGCTTCTGGTACACTAATCTACAAGTTTAAACTTTCAGGAAGCTATGAAACACATGATTGAACAGCCACAACCACATGAAGGTGACAAGGCTACCACAGGCACAATGTCACATCTTACTGCAGTGTGTCAGTATCTCTCCACTAACAGTGCAAAAAGCAGCTTCCTGCGTAATTCTGGGTTGGTTGTTAAGGTAACCTCGTCCACATCGCCTACTGAACAAAATCTTCCGGCTAGACAAAGTGATATATCTGTGCTCCAGACACAAGTCCAATCCCTAATGGACGTCGTTCTAGAAACAAGAATAGTGGTTGACAAATATCGTCAATATATGAATGGTTTTGAAACCAGACTATCAGACATTCGCTTCGTTGTTCAAGAGAAATGGCTGAAAAAAGGCGAAGATCGTGTTGCTCCATCAGATTCTACAGCCTGAAACATTAGCACTCAGGTCAAATGATCTGTGCTTCTATACATCTGATGGTGCTTTTATCTATAAGGACTGTAAACTTTATGCCAACAAACATTTTGTTGTATGGTTGGAATTTATTTTGTTGTGATACAACATTTATGATGCTGCCAAAGGCTGCAGTAATTACGACGCTATTTTTGTATAGTGTAGGTTTATCTTAGTAATGTATTCGGCTGAAAGCTCCGTAGGAGTCCAACATGCCAACATTCGTCGGGCCCATTCCAATTGGGCTAAAAACGATTATGAGACGAAATATATAGCCCACTAAAAATATCTGGGCCTAAATCAGCATAAGCTTTCATATTTTTCTAGTAGGCCTGTGCCCATAGTGGGCCTTTAACAGGCCTAAACATAATTTGGGCCCTCAGTAACAATAGGCCGTTTACAGGTGTAATTATCTTGAGCCCATAAAACACACGGGCCTTTCATAGGCCGAAAGTGACATTGGGCCCTGATAGTGCCAAATAACCCACTAGTCTTAGCAGGCCAAAATGGTGGCCCATTTACGATTCACAGGCCAAAATTCGGACGGGCTATAAATGCGCCGACCTAATACACGTTCCTTTAATAGGCCAGAAGTTCGGTCGGGCTAGATTAGCGTCATTTTTATATGGGCCTTTAATGGGCCCGATGTGCTGTTGGGCCACATATGGCCCATGCATTTTGCCCGACGTTAACAGGCCGAAAATCACAACAGGCCGAAAGTGGCCCAAATCTATAGTGGGCCTCTAACAGGCCGAATGTCAGACATGGCCGAATATGACCCAAATTCTTCACGGTCGTTTATGGGCCGGAAGTTTCAATGGCCTGTAAATGGGCCCAAATGAAGCAGGACCTTTAACATGCCAGAAATACACCGGGCCGTAATTCGGCCCAATACTTAGCGGGCTGTTAACGAGCCAGAAGTGACCATGGGCCGCGATGATGACAAGTTTAGGACAGGAAGTTGACGGGCCTATTTGACACTAGCCGTGCGGGCCTTAACTGAGAATGTTGGGCCTTTAGCTGGGCCGGCCCAATATGGTTTGCAAAATCTTGTGGGTCTTTAGCTGGGCCGGCCCATTTTGGTCTGCTAAATCTTGTGGGCCTTTACCTGGGCCGGCCCATTATGGTCTGCAAAATCTTGTGGGCCTTTAGCTGGGCCGGCCCACTGTGGTCCTCTAAATCTTGTGGGCCTTTAGCTGGACGAGC